CACCTTTAGCCTTGGATTTCTTCATCTGTATTTTTTTCTTTTTTTGAGATTTTATTTATTTATTTGAGAGAGAGAACATGCAGGGCAAGAGGCAGAGGGAGAAGCAGACCACCCACTGAGCAGGGAGCTCCATGCAGGGCTCGATCCCAGGACCCTGGGATCGTGACCAGAGCCGAAGGCAGACGCTTAACCGACTGAGCCCCCCACGCGTCCCTCTTTGTCTGTATTTTTTTTTTAAAGATTTTATTTATTTATTTGACAGAGAGAGATCACAGTAGACAGAGAGACAGGCAGAGAGAGAGGGAAGCAGATTCCCTGCTGAGCAGAGAGCCCGATGCGGGATTCGATCCCAGGACCCGGAGATCATGACCCGAGCCAAAGGCAGAGGCTTAACCCACTGAGCCACCCAGGCGCCCTGTCTGTATTTTTAAGTAAACAACTAGAGTCCCTAAAAGGTGGCAAGTACGTAACTATGGTCGCTATACTCGAAGGGTATTTAATTGTGCTACAAAAGATATGAATAAAGCCGTTTTGACTTCTGAGTAAGGGGAAAATTTCAGACAAAGCCCTAGAGTTTGCTTTTCCCTAAGTCGACTTTGCTTCCCCGTGGGATCTGAAGGTCCCCGGGAGACACATCTCCCGAGAACGTCCCGGAGCAAAGTGAGGCGCAGACTCGCAGACTCAGAGGCAAGTCCCCGGAGAGGACTGTTCGAGTTCCTGCGGTGCCAGCCTCGGTGTGGGGTCCACAGCGCAGTCTGTGGGAACGCCGGGCGCCGTGCTTACTGATGGAGAAAAGTCAGAAGGGGCCCAAGACAAAACGTCGAAGATTAAAAAGTCAAACTGGGTAGGTAGGTGCCGATACTAGAAATGAAAACAGTAAGTGGCCGAGTTGCCTCGTTTAGCCCGAAGTCATCAGTTGAGAGAGAGCACGGAGAGGGACGGCAACAGGAGAGCCTGAAGCGGGCTCCTCGCCGAGTGCGGAGCCCGACGCGGGGCTCAACCCACGGTCCCAAGACCACGACCTGAGCCAAAACCAAGAGTGAGACACCAAACCGACCGAGCCACCCCGGCACCCCGCGTTGTTCTCCTTTAAAGAGAAGCTCATCCTAGTTGTAAAAGTCACCTTAAACACACCACCCAAACCTGTGTTAACTGATCTCAGTAAACACCTTTCTAGTCCCGTCTCCCTCTCCATGTATCTGTTCGCATTTCGACTTAAACAAGACGAGGTCTTCATCCAACGCGTATTGAACGAACTACATTAATTACTCCAGTATTGACAAATGCATGTTTTACTTCCACAGTTTTTCATGCCACCAGCCAATGGGCTTAAAGATATTTTCTCTAAGAGGCACCTGGCTGGCTCAGTTGGTGGAGCATGTGACTCTTGATCTTAGGGTCATGAGTTCGAGCCCCATGGTAGGCATAAAGCTCACTTAAATTTCTTTTTTTAATGTAATTAAATGGGGGCGCCTGGGTGGCTCAGAGGGTTAAGCCTCTGCCTTTGGCTCAGGTCATGATCTCAGGTCCTGGGATCGAGCCCCACACTGGGTTCCCGGCTTAGCAGGGAACCTGCTTCTCCCTCTCCCTGCAGCTCTCCCTCCTTGTGCTGTCTCTCTCTCTGTGTCAAATAAATAAATAAATAAAATCTTAAGGGGAAAAAATATATATATATAAAATTCAAATTTTTTTCTCTAGCTAGGCCTGGCGGGGGGTGGCGGGGGGAGAATGAGCTATAAAAAATAAACACAAAAAGCAGAATCACCCAAGTTGGTAAAACTGCATTAAATCAATGAAAATTCATGAGTCTATATTTATGCTCAAAAAAGAAAAAGCCACGAAAAAAAAAGGCAAGAAAAACCAACCCACAGTAATCTCTTGCACATGAAACAGCTTTTGCAGCAATCCCTTGATTGTGAAATGGGGCAGAAGAGGAGAGAACCCTGTGGGGCCGCGTCTGTGTGTGACGTGAGCGGCCCTGGTGATGGGAAGCTGCACCTTCTGGCGGGGGTGAGGGGCTGGGAAGCAAACATTAGACCAACCCGGTCCCAGAACCGCTAGTTCCGGGGCGGAGGGCCCGTGGGGGCCGGTATGGTCATGTCTGCTGCAGGCAGATGGGCTTTCAGGGTTAGGGAGCAGTGAGGGCAGGTTCACAGGGAGCGCCCTGGCCTGTGGGCCGCCGGACGTGGCTGGCTCCGCCCCACGGTGAGGCAGATCAGACTCTCCTAATAAAGCTTCTGGAACGCAGCCGTCAGTAGCTCGTCCTCGTGCAGTGTTTCTGTCACTCCGGTTACATTCACCGAAACCAAGCCTGAACCCTGGGAGTCCGGTGAGACAGCCTGGCTGAGGTCCCCAAGTGGGGACAAGGATGGCCACTTCCCACGCAGACCCCTCCCACCGTGGTCGGCTCTTCTCTTGAGGCCCAAGGGCTCCAGCCCCAGTCACCAGAGCTTTGCTTTCCATCACATGGTCTCCCCACTTGCTTCCCTCTAGAGCTGGAAAGGGAGCTCATCTTCAAGGCCACCAAGTGACTTCTAAGTAACGTGACCTCATGGGGACATGTGGGGACCTCACATCTAAGGCCTGGTGCTTCCTACCTCACTAGTCTGTAAATACCCCATTCAGAAGGATCCGGAAAACCTCTGCTGAGCCAAGCCACAGGGGTAAAAGGATGGGGAGGGACGGAGGGCAGCAGGCAGGCCCTCCCCCTGCCAGGCGCCTGGGGCGTGCGGCAGTGCTGAGCCGGGCTGAGCCGGGTGAGGGCAGATTAGGAAACAAAAGGCTGTTGATTCTCTGGTTTCCTCACTCTGGCCACCATAGCCAAGTGCAGCCCGGGCCAGGACTCCTGCTGTCTGTGGCTGACAGGCCATGTTGTGCAGGAAGCACTGGACGATGGTCACCTCTGCCCCACGAGGCTATCACAACAAGAAACGAGACATCCGTGGAGCTGAAGCCACGAGCGCGCTTGCCTCGCCGGCTCGTGCTGACCTCACCTTGGGAGCTGGACACAGCGCGCTTGTGTCCTCACCACCTTGTTATCGGAAACGAAAGCGACTTTGAGTCTCGGTTGTAGAGAGAACACTCTATGTCTTACTGGGCTTCTCCAGGTAAACCCAGTTGTGCCTCAAGCCAACCTCGGCCTGGCATTAGAGCGGTGGAGCGAGGACCCCACTGGGGCCGGCCCCTGTGGCTCCTGCGTTCACGGCCCAAGTGGGGCTGTGGCCTGCCCTCTGGGGGGCTAAGGCTGGGAAAGGACCGGAGCGCACGAGCGTCGCGGAGGGCACTGCCCCGAGTGCAGAGCAGACGCCTCCCTTTGTGACCGCACGCGGCCCTGGAGAGCCAGCCTTTGCCAGGTCCTGGGAGGAAACCGTAACAGCAGGAGCCGCCCTGGGCCTCAGAGTCCTGGGTGCAGGGGGGGGGCGCGCAGCTCACCCCACGGGCTTCTCTCGACGAGGCCAGGGCCTGGGGGCCGAAGACCCCGGTGTTGGGAGGGTCCTTTTGGCCAGTGGTTACACACGAAAACCACAGGAGCCCTGCCTGGACAGCCTCGCACTCGGGAGCGGATGCTGGTGAGACCAGGAACCCGCTCCCGGCGGTGGAACGGGAACGCCTCGCACCTTCTCACCGCCTGGCTCCCCCCGTAAGCCCTTCCTTCTCCTTCTCGCGCCTCCTCAGCTCACCGGCTCCCTCGCCTTTGTCCCTGCAAGCCCTCGGCTCCGCAGAGAGAGGGCGGAGGCTTGCGAACTTTGGACGCTCTGAGGGAGGGGGGCAAGATCAGTGTCCGGTGTGAGCCCCTTGCTCCTTTCTCGGCTCCCACGGGGCTCTGGGCACTCCGTCCTCGTCCGCCTTCTGCATCTGCACACACTTGCCTCCCGAGAGCTCGTCCGGGCTCCTCTGCAGGGGTCCCGCTCACCCCGGAAGCCCGCTGGAGAGAAGTGACCTTGTGGGCTGCATACTTTCTCGTGACGTGTACAGGCGAGGCCCACTGAGGCAGCCTGAGGCCTGCACACTCACGTCACTGGGGCCCTGCCTGCTCTAATGTCTGCACGGTGAGCACCGCACTCCCCACGGCTCCGGGGAGTGGGGGAGAGGCCCTCGCTCCCCAGCCGCGCGCGCCGGGCAGAGGAGGCTCTTCCACGCTGACGAGAGAGAAGAATCCCAGACCACCAGAGCCGTGCCGCCGGCGTGGGAGCGGGGACACGAGCAAAGGCCAGGAAGGCCTCAGCTGGTCCCTTCGACGCCCCTGTACAGTCTGGGTCTCTCACAAGCAACGGTACTTGCCTTAGGGTCGAGGGTGCTTTATGAGCTCCGCGACGCCGGTCCAGCCTCTCCCCAGCCCCACCCTAGGTCGGCTGCACGGCCACGAGCCTGAGGGCACCAGGGACGCATGCGGTGTCCCAGTGCAGCCGCTGGCCCACAAGAGGGAGGCGGCACCTGTCCTCCTGTCCCCCTGGCCTGTGTGCAGGGGGGCACGAGAGAGATGAAAATGCGAGACGAAAACGCTTGGTGAACAGTGTCGCACCTGTAAAACGAAAGAAGTGACAGGAAAGAACCGACCAGGAGGGCGCACACCCTGCCCACGTCTGCCTGCCGCCTCCGCTCGAGGCCACCCCTGCCACAGGGGACAGATGGCAGTGCAACCGACCCTGCCCGGTGAAGTAAGGGGACTATCGAAGCTCTCACAGCCCTGTGAGCGCACAGATGACAGCAGCGTTTGTTGCGGCCCCCCGTCCTGCCAAGTGTCCGTGCACACGGCACCTGGACGGCCAGCGCCGGGCTGCGGCTCAGTTCCCGCGCCAGCTGCTCGGGCAGGTGTGGGGGGCTGCACTGGGGAACGCAGTCTTGGGTTTGCCCCGAGGGTGATGGGCAGCATGTCCTAGAGGCTGACCCTCCAGCCATGGGGACACCTTCCCAGGAGCTCCAGGCTCTAACCCACAACGGTCTTTGCAGGGATATTACAGTTTCGCAGTTTCTCAACACAGCAAGACACTGAGTCATACTCGTTTGATGAGTATTTAAATCATTTATTGCCATTAAGTTCCAGCACTTGTGGAGGCATGCCGCACGGAAGCCCAGACACGCTCTCGACCACTAGCAGAGACAGGGCCCGTGGCCAGCCATTGGTGTCTAAAAAATCCCAATTTTCTCTCTTCAGTTACCCATTAAGTAAATTCTACCAAGTAATATATGCATTACTGCAGATAAAACCATCACAGAAGAAGGATGTTCAGGGCGTGTAAGGCAGCAGAGAGTTGTTTTAGGGACTCTCAGCTATTTCTAGAAAAATTGGTTAGTAAAAATAGCATTCAGCTTATTTTCTCAGCAAGACTATTCTGAGGATGGAATCCGTGACCCGGCGGCGCCGGCAAGGCCGTCCCTCCACACCCCTGGCTTCTCCTCTCCCGCTGTTAGGCTGATGCCTTTTTACTCATCCTGGAAATAAACACAAAGGAAAATCCAATGAGAAACAAATGTCCCTGCCCGGCTCAAAGACCTTGGGTGGCATCGGGAAGACACCCTCGCATTTATTTCAACTTCTCGTTTTATCAAACGGTACCATCCACCTCCTGTTGAGCTGCGCTGCGCTCGCTGACCAATCGGAGTCGTCAGTTTGGCAGTGCGTTTTTTTCCTTTCCAACGGCACATCCTCACTCAGAATCCAGCTCCCCAACTGCTAACGTTGTCTCCGCACACGCACGCTCACAGCCAGTCCCCCGAGGCTTCGAGATTTAAGTTTCATTCTCCCCAACTGCCCAAACCGCGTGGGGACGGCGGGGGCTGCTTACTCGTGCCTGAGGAGGCGTCCTCCCTGAACCAGCTGCGCTACCTCGTTGGTGGCGTGGCAGGCGAACAGGAGCCAGTTCCGGGGCTGCACCTTGTAGGCGAATCTCATGAAGGTCAGCGAGTAGCAACAGAGGGCTGCGGGGACAGCAAAGCCAGGCGTGACTCACAGCCCAGCGGACTCCGAGCTGCTGTGACCGCAGGTCGGCGGCTCGGTCGCCTTCATCAGAAAACGAATCTCTTCTGCTACAACTTTCACAGACAAAACACGTTGGTGCTTACACGCTCCCACGACCGGGGAGCGCGCCCTGGGAATCACTCTGCCGTCAGGGTGTACCTTAGCACACATTTCAGGCACGCGTTTGTTTGCTACCGCGGCTGGGGGCTCTAGCTGCTTTTTCTGCTCCCCCAGAGCCGTTCCCAGCCCCCCGTCTGAAACAACTGCTGCTTAATCCCCACGAGATTCTTAAGGTCAAATATCAGGATTTCAAATAAACTTAAAGGCACTTCTTCCAAGTAAAGTTCAAGAGGACACATCTGCAGCTGTGTGTACTAGATCTGAAAGGCACACAGGACCTTGACACGTCCTGGGTGAGTTATTTCCAAACAGCCCTGTTTCTCCCTCCCCAGGAGCAAGCAGCACCCATGCAGGCCACCTTCCCTGTGTGTTACTTTCCGAGAGTGACCGCGGCACCGCAGCTACAGCCGGAAGTGCACGCCCAGGAGCCTGTGACCCTGTAATTCCACGCAGTAAAGTCCTCCCCATTATTCAAATCTGTGTCCTTACCAAATGTCATCCGCCCACTGATAATCTCTGGAGACTTCTTCATGTCATTGATGGCAGCAATGGGAAGACCCCAGTTGGCTACAGGGCCCCAGAAATGCTACAAAAATGAGAGGAGAAGGAGAAGGATAAGGGGAGGCGGGAAGAGGAGAGGAGAAGGAGAAGGCGGGGTTTCTTCCCTTAAACAATGAGGGGAGCGCTGTGCGGGGAACTTGACGTTCACGTGCAGCTGTACTGGTCAACGGCCGGCCGGCTAACGTCCGGGCACGGACTGTTCAAGGGTTTGCCCGGACTTGCTGGCTCTTCCAGGGTGAGCCCCGCGTCAGAAAGGAGTTGGCTGATCACCAAGGCCCCCGCCAGCTTCCAGATTACCTCTAGGTAATCTCCGTCCCACTCAGAGAACTTTAAATCAGATTAACTTCTTACCCAGTTCCCGCTGGCCACCACTTAAATCTCCTTACAACTATTCTTGATAATGTCATGTTTAAATCTCGAAAAACCTCTTTTTCAAATTTTCATTAAGATATTTGTCAAAATCTCTTCTAATGCCGATCCTAGATTGGAGATCATTTCTGAAGAAAGCAACTGTGAAGGGGAGAAGTGGCTTCCCAGCCCCTACGAGCTATATATTTAGATCAGAGAGCTCGGAAATCGCTCGGAACCCCAGGGATACTAAGAAATTAAGACTGGAAGGTACTTTCGAAGTCACAGCAACAACCTACGTTTAGGGAAGTCTCAGCGGTTTTTCACACTGTGATGGCAGCTGTCCCAGGACAGCAAAACGATGTCACCCTAACGCCATTTAAGTTAACATCCTGCTGTCAACAGCAGCAACATCCAATCGATTTAAGTTCTGAAGGTGAACTGAGTTCAGTGGCTTTTCCCATTAAACGAAAGAGTCTTTTATTAATGTACAATTTTCAATACTTTAAAGAATGAAAGAAACCACTCCTTGTTGGCCAACCCCCATTTTTAGTTATCAGACCATTCATCAGTGGCGCACTCCCGCTGTCAGGGCATTTCAGGCAAATTCAGATTGCTGAGTGCTTTTCTAACATTGACCAACAAGGACCAGGAGTCAGTAATATCCGAAATTTCATTTAGGAGTAGGAAACAAGGGAAATGCAAGAAAAGTAAATGACAATTACGTCTGGCCTAATAGGAGAATATTTTGACACACTTACTTAACGCACTTCACTGGAAGCAGGAGGCCCAGGCCTCGAGGTGCAAAGCGTCAGAGCTCCCGGCCCGCACGCAAGGTATGACCTCGTGCATCAGACACAGCTGGTATGAGGAATCTCAGAGGTTCTGGGGTGGGGGGGGGGGGGGGTGGTCGCTAATCAGTCCTCTTGTCTCGGGACATTATCTGAGGGAGACTCATGTGGCTGGAACTGTAATTTCTTACACCTGGACACGGAGTGGCTGCTCCCCACCCCCCCACCAGAGCTCTGGAGAGGTCTGGAGTGGAAGGATGCATCCCACAGCTCTGCTCTGCGCGTTGGTCCCAACATCTACCTTCTCGCACACAGAGCTGGGGCTGGAACAGAGCCTGGAGAGTTTCTCCATGACCAGGCACAAAGGCGTCTCTGCCCACAGCTGGGGCCAAGGAGCAGGACCATGGCAGGATCTGACACCTCAAGTAGCCCTGGGGGACTTGGCTCACATGGTGGCATTCTAGGTTCTAGTCTGAGGACCGTGACATGTGAACAGAGCTCAGCTAGTTAGGGGAGATACACACGCTTGTGATGATAAACACTGAGATACACCTGAAACGGGTTTCTTAAAAAGAATACGAAAGGTAAAAATGATCTCAACAACAGTGTACGGAAAGAGGCGACTGTATAACGTGAAGAATTCATCCTTTCTATCGATGCAAGCTTGAGTTCGCACGTCCCTGTTCGGAAACGCATGTTTGGTCCAGCTCAGCAGCCAGTGCACTGGTCCTGCCAGGAGCGAGCGCCCAGAGTGGACGAGGGCCAGCAAGGGGCCACTGGGAGAGCCGCCAGCCACGGCAGCTGCGTCCACTAGCTCAATCGAAGGAAGCCAGGTCTGCTGTCCGTAAGTCTGGCAGCACACAAAGTCTGCAAGAGCCTAAAATAAAGTAGAGCAGTTCTCTTACCGTACTATTTTGTGAGGCGTCCCCAAGGTTCAGACGGGAGAGATGTGGGGGGAAAAAAAGAAAAGATTAGATGTTTTGGAAGATCACGGCTCTATCAGGTTACTTCAACCTCACACGTGTGTTCAAGTTTCAGCAGCAGAACCACCAGCTGAGCCGCACACATTCCTAACAACAGCTCTGACCCAGCAAAACGAAACCTCTCCTTTACCAAGGCAAGCGTAAGCCTGAGAGGGAAGCTGTCCCATAGAAATATAATGCAACTCACTACTACGAGCCACATATGTCATTTTAAAATTTCTAGAAGCCACATTAAAAGTAAAAAGAAACTACAGAACTATGTTAGTTTATTCTAACCTGTCAAAAATAATTTAATTTGAACTGGTGCTCAACTAAAGCTTAGCAATGTGGCATTTCACATTGTCTTTGTACTAAGCATCTGAGATCTGGTGTGTACTGACATCTGTGGCACGTGTCATTTGGCCTGGCCACGGGATGGTGCTCTGCTGCCCTCCGCAGCTCACGGCAGCTCACACTCGGCGCAGGCTGATGGGGCGCTCCTCTGGAAATGACCAGGTAGCGAGAACACAGAGCTGCAGAACTCTAGCAACGGGGAGCCTTGACCATTTTGGCTAACAGGTTATCACCAGAATGAGAACCCCTAAAAACAGGCATATAATTTTACATTACATTTTGTTCACTTCTAAGACTCTGGAACCTCCAACAGTGCCTGGCATTTTATAACCATTCAGCAAGTCTTTGTTGAATGAATGAATGAATGAATGAATAGTAAAAACTTACGACATTGTGTTTTTCTAAATGTTAAACTTGGTACCATTCAAAAATGCATCAAAAATTTTATGATGAATTACTTCTATTTCTGAAATGGCAATTCTTTTTGCAGGATATAGCTTAATTGTTTTGTATGACAAAATCTTAAAAGTTTAGGTACTGAGTTAATGAAATAAAATGATAAAATCCTTTACAAACACACATCCAAATGGCTCTTCTCACCATTTTGACTTAGAGATCAAGAAGGTTCTAATTGCCAGCATGAAAATATATCCACTGACAATGCTAATATAGTAATATTCTTCAAATAGTTTCTATTACGAAATACAAGAAGCCTAGAAAGAGCCTTTCGATGTTAAGTGAATTTTAAGAACTGTGTAAGAGATCATGTTACCAAGACTATCTCATAGGAAGTCCAAACCGAGCAGGGCGCTTTGCAGCAGAAGTTGGGGATTTGCCCTACCAGCTCCCACAGCGTAATCTAGTAGACTGTGGACCACACTCACAGCAGGGTCACTACTCTTTGTTGTTGTTAGTTTCGAAGGTAGAATTTAGTGATTTATCAGTTGCATGAAGCACCCTGTGCTCATCACATCACATAACCTCCTTCATGCCCATCACCCAGTTACCTCATCCCCCAACCCTGTGGTAACCCTCAGTTGGTTCCCTATAATCAAGAGTCTCTTATGGTTTGTCTCCTTCTCTATTTTTATCTTTTATTATTTTTCCTTCCCTTCCTCTATGTTCATGTTTTGTTTCTTAAATTCCACATGAGTGAAATCATATAGTCTTTGTCTTTCTCTGACTGACTTATATTTCGCTTAGCATAATACCCTCTAGTTCCATCCATGTCGTCGCAAAAGATGAGATTTCATTCTTCTTGATGGCTAAGTAATATTCCATTGTGTATATATATACAGCACCATTCATCTTCTTTATCTATTCATCTATCGATGGACATCATCTGGGCTCTTGCCATATTTGGGCTATTGTGGACATCGCTGCTATAAACATTGGGGTGCAGGTGTCCCTTCAGATCACTGTGTTTGTATCCTTTGGGTAAATACCCAGTAGTGCAATTACTGGGTCATTGGGTAGCTCTGTTTTTAACTTTTTGAGGAACCTCCATACTATTCTCCAGAATGGCTGCACCAGCTTGCATTCCCACCAATAGTGCAGGAGGGTTCCCCTTTCTTTGCATCCTCACTAACATCTGTTGTTTCCTGACTTGTTAGTTTTAGTCATTTGAACGGTGTGAGGAGGGATCTCACCATGGTTTTGATCTGTATTTCCTTGATGCCGACTGATGTGGAGCATTTTTTCATGTGTCTGTTGGCCATTTGTATGTCCTCTTTGGACAAATGTCTGTTCACATCTTCTGCCCATTTCTTGACTAGAGATTTTTTTTTTCAGTCTCACTATTCTTAAAGCATCTTTGTTCAAGATCTGAACAAAGAACCAGATTTAATTAGCTATAAATTACCAGTGGCACATTTCTGCCACGAAAATATTTTAAAAGATGTAGTTTTAAAAATCTAAAATGTCAACTTGGAGATAATTTGGTTTTCAATTCAGGACTCTTTGTGAACTGTACAGCAGTTCAAATGCTAACCTATTTTACAGCATGAAAATGCTTACACAAAAAATGCTTATCTTCCAACCAAGAATATCCTACCCATCTAATTCTGAATTACCATTCAGAATAGAAGGCAAGAGAATTTTCCAGACAAGCAAGAGCTAAAGTTCATCACCATTAAATTAGCCTTATAAATAATAAGTTATTTAGTAATAAGAACATACACAAAAGAATAAATCTCACTGGAAAAATCAATATATAGTAAAGGTAAGTCAAATAACTACTTATAAAGCTAGTATGAAGGTTAAAAGACAAAAGTAGCAAAAATAACAATGACTACAGTAATTAGTTAAGGGACAAGATAAAAAGACGTAAAATATATCAAAAATATAAATTAAGGGGGAGAGGTGCTGAGCTTTAGAATGAGATCAAACTTACAGTTGTTATCAACTGAAAACTGACTGTTACAAGTTGTTATATATAAGCCTCATGGTAACCACAGAGCAAAAACCTGGAGTAAATGACAAAAAAATAAAGAAAGGTGATCAAAACACCAAAGGAAGAGAGTGAGAGAACTGTGGGGCAGAGAACTACAAAATATCCGGAAAATAAGCAAAACGGCAATAAGCACGTACCAGCAACGATTCCTTTAATGTAAACAGACCAAATTCTTCAATCAAAAGAAGAGCTGAATCGGTTAAAAAAAAACAAGATTCATCTCTATGCTGTCTACAACAATATGCTTTTGATGTAAGAACACACAAACTAAAACGAAAGGATAGAAAAAGTTTCCACACAAATGGAAACCAAAAGAATGGAGTTATCTATACTGATATCAGACAAAATAGACTTTAAAACAAAGACTGTAATAAGAGACCAAAAAAAGTGTTACATAATGGTAAAGGGGTTAATCCAACAAGGGGACATAATTGTTGTGACACAGGAGCATCTAAATGTATAAATATGTAAAGCTAATGTGCACATGCCTAAAGGGTGACACAGACATCAACTTAATAATAGCAGAGGACTTAAATACCTTGCTTACATCAATGGATAAATCATCCAGATAAAACTGATCAGAACGTTGGGCTTCACTGACAAGTTAGACCAGATGAAGGTAACAGATACATATAAAGAACACTTCATCCAAAAGCAACAAAATACACATTCTTCTTAAGTGCACATGAACATTTTCCAAGACAGATCATATATTAGGTCACAAAACAAGTCTTAATAAATCTAAGATTGAAATCAAGCATCTTTTCCAACCATAGTGATATGAAACTAGAAATTAATTACATGAAGGAAGCTAGAAAACTCATAAATATATGGAGATTAAACAACATGCTACTGAGTAACTGATAGGTCAAAAAAGAAATAAAAAATGCCTTGAGACAATCGAACATGGAAATTTATCATACCAAAATTTAAGGGCTGCAGCAAAAGCAGTTCTACGGAAGAAGCTCAAAGCAGTAAAAGCCTACTCCAAGAAACAAGAAAAGTCTCAAACAACCTAACATACTTTGAGGAACTATAAAAAGAACAAAAGAAGCCCCAAGTTACTGGAAGGAAGAAAATAACAAAGATTAGAGCAGAAATAAATGAAATTGGAACCAAAAAAGAGCCAGAGTCACCTAGAAAAATAGAGGGAACTCAAATAAAACCAGAAATGAAAGAAATACTAGAAGTGACACCACGGCAATACAAAGGACTGTAAGAGACTACTATGAGTAATTGTACACCAACAAACTAGACAACCCCGAAGAAATGGATGAATTCCGAGAAACGTACAACCTACCCAGACTGAGTCAGGATAAAACAAAATCTGAACAGACAGATTACTAGTGAAGGGGCTGAAATCGGTGATCAAAAACTTCCCCACAAACAGAAGTCCAGGACCACAGAGCTTCACGAGTGAACTCTACCAAATATTCAAAGAAGAATCAATACCAATCCCTTTCAAACACTTCCAAAAGCTAGAAGAGGGGAGAACTCTTAGAAAAACATTTTACAGGGCCAGCACTGTCCTGACACCAAAGTGAAACAAGGGTGCCATACAAAAAGGAAAATTACAAGCCAATATCCCTGATGAACACAGATGCAAAAATCCTCAAATACGAGCAAACCGAACTCAACAGTACATTAGAAGGAGCATCCACTCTGATCAGTGAGATTTATCCTCGGGCGTCAAGGATGGTTTGGCATCCACGTACCAGTGTGCTATATTCCACACTACACCACATCAACAAGATGAAGGACACAAAAAATATGAGCATCTCAACAGATGAAGGAAGAAAAATTGACAAAACTGAATACCCATTTATGATAATAACTCTCAATAAAGGAGAAAGAGAGACTGCACTGATAAAACAGCAACTGGACATAATAAAGACACACAAAACAAGCACACAGCTCACGCCACACTCAACAGTGAAAAGCTGAAAGCTATTCCTCTAAGACTGGAAACAAGGATGTCTACTCTCGCCACTTTTATTCAACATAGTACTGGATGTCCTAGCCTGAGCAATTAGGGAAGAAAAAGAAAGGACACTGAAATTAGAAAGAAACTAAAACCGTCACTATTTGTGGGGCTCCTGGTTGGCTCAGTTGGTAGAGCACATGACTTTTGATCTTGACGT